GGAGTCAGGCCCTGACCTCCGCTATATCTCTACCCTCCACTCTCAGCTCCTGAAGGAATTTCTGTACTTGGACCTCACAGCACCCATCTCCGGTGCCTCGCTGGAGGAGACGCGACAGCTGCTGCTGGAGGGGAGCCTGAAGATGAAGGAGGGGAAGGACAGCAAGGTCCTCTAGGCGCCCCACCCCACTCAGGGCTGAGGCATCTCCCCTTCTTGCCCTGTGGGTTTGGACCACCTTCCTCCTGTGCCCCAGTCAGTGGTTCTCAGCCACCCGTGTGGGTGGTGATTCAAGAGCCAAAGACTTGGAGGCACCCGTAGTTCAATGCATAGGGCGGCAGCCACATATACCCAGGCTGGTGGGTTCGAACCTAGCCCTGGCCAGCTAAACTGCAATGACAACTGCAACAAAAGAATAGCTGGGTGTTGTGGCCAGCACCTGTAGTCCTAGCTACTCAGGAGGCTGAGGCAAGAGAATCGCTTAAGCCCAAGAGTTTGAGGTTGCTGTGAGCTGTGATGCTACAGTACTCTACTGAGGGTGACATAGTGAGACTGTCTCAAAAAAAAAAAAGTCCCCTGTGGCTCAGTGAATAGGGTGCTGCCCCCATATACTGAGGGTGGCGGGTTTAAACCTGGCCCCGGCCAAACTGCAATAAAAAATAACCGGACATTTTGGTGGGCACCTGTAGTCCTAGCTATTTGGGAGGCTGAGGCAAGAGAATTGCCTAAGCCCAAGAGCTGGAGGTTGCTGTGAGCTGTGACGTCACAGCACTTTACTGATGGTGACATAGTGAGACTCTGTCTCAAAAAAAAAAAAAAAAGCCAGAGAGTTTGTGGTCATAGTAGGGGATGATTATCTGTCTGCAGTTTACTCTTTCCTGACTACAAGTGGCAGGGTCATAGCTGGGGAGAGGCTAGTCACCTGTCAGGTGGCAGGGAGGGGCACATTCCATACCTGGGCCAGGAACCCTGTCCTGTGCCTTGCTTTGTGCTGTTAACCCTTCCTGCACTGGATAACCTGGAACCTGCAAATTGTGATTTTTTTAAAACCACCTTCCTTCTTTTTAATATAAACTTTTTAAAGTGAATCATAAATATAAATATATAACTCAATGAAAAAGAATCCTCTTCCCCCACGTTTTATTTTTACTTGAAAGTTTGCTGTGGGGAGGGGGAAGTGTTTGACAAAAACCAAGTGCTCTGTCCTGCTCCGTACCCCAGATGGACGTGTACTGCTTCCTCTTCACGGATCTGCTGTTGGTCACCAAGGCAGTGAAGAAGGCCGAGAAGACCAAAGTCATCAGGCCACCACTGCTGGTAGACAAGATTGTGTGCCGGGAGCTGCGAGACCCTGGTGAGAAGCCTGGGGCCCCTGCTCCTGGGCAGGAGCTGTGATGGACAGGGATTATCATGAGGCTGACACTGACCTTCCCTAATTAGGCTCCTTCCTCCTCATCTACCTGAATGAGTTTCACAGTGCTGTGGGGGCCTACACATTCCAGGCCAGTGGCCAGGCCTTGTGCCGTGGCTGGGTGGATGCCATTTACAATGCTCAGGTGAGACTACAGGCACATGGAGGGTGAGAGCAGGGTAGATTTTGGGGACTGCAGATCACAGCACATTCTGACCCATGCACCCACAACCCCTATGTGTAGAACCAGCTCCAACAGCTGCGGGCACAGGAACACTCAAGCAGCCAGCAGCACCTGCAGAGCCTGGTAGAGGAGGAAGATGAACAGGAGGAGGAAGAGGAGGAGGAGGAAGGGGAGGAGAGTAGCACCTCTGCTGCCAGTTCCCCCACCATCCTTCGTAGAAGCAGCAACAGCCCAGACTCCCAGCACTGGTATGTGTACTTAAGATCACCTGCAGGTCATAACAGGGTAAGCCCTGCAGCCCAGGGCCCCAGACTCCAAGGCTCAGCCATGTCCCCTTCCTCTGAATGGTCTCATGTCTAAACCCAGGTGTGGGGGTTCTCTTCCTCCAGAGTCCAGGTGAGGAGGGCAAACAGCTTTCAGATTGCTTGCCAACTCTGAACTCTTAGTGGTAGCTGCTTGGAGTGCCAAGCTGAGGATTCTTATGAGTGTACCAGTCTCACCAGGAAGAGTACTATGATCCATTACTGATGCCTGTTGTGGCCACAGGGGTCAGAAAGTCTGGCACCATGTGTCACATGCTGTCATTTCTGAGCCTTCAGCTCCTGGTGGCCGAGGCTGCAGACCTGTGGGCATTGCCCAGCATGGGCTGTGAAGGCCATATGGGTTTCCTTCAGAAACCCAGCTGGGCTGACTCTGTTCTTGGCCCCACAGTGCCTCAGACAGCTCCACGGAGACACTGGCCGTGGTAGTGGTGGAGCCTGAGGAGGCATTGTCCTCCCCCGAGTTTGATGGCGGCCCCTTCAGCTCCCAGTCAGATGAGACCTCTCTCAGCACCACTGCCTCATCCATCACGCCCACCGGCGAGCTGCTGCCCCTGGGCCCTGTGGATGGCCGCTCCTGCTCCATGGACTCTGCCTATGGCACCCTCTCCCCAACCTCCCTGCAGGACTTTGCAGGCCCTGCTCCTGTGGCAGAACCAGTAACCCGGCCCCCAGAATTGGCACAAGCCCCTTCCCCACCACCATCGCCCCGCCTCCGCCGTCGCACCCCTGTCCAGTTGCTGCCCTGCCTGCCCCACCTGCTCAAGTCCAAATCTGAGGCCAGCCTCCTCCAACTGCTGTCAGGGGCTGGCACCCATGGAACACCCCCAGCCCCCAGCCGCAGCCTATCAGAGCTCTGCCTGGCTGCTCTAGCCCCAGGCGCTAGAACTGGGGACTGCTCTCAGGAAGCTGGGCCCACCTGGGGTTGCAGGGGGGTATCCAGTCCTTACAGTGGCTCCAAACCATTAGAGCCTGAGAACAGAGCCACCTGCTTGGTTGAGGAGCCTGCAGGCTCTGCCAGGAGGGGATGCAGAGAGCTGCCCTCTGGGAGCTCTCCTGGGGTTCAGCCAGAGCCCCCTCCAGGGGTCTCTGCTCAGCACCGGAAACTGACACTAGCCCAGCTCTACCGAATCAGGACCACCCTGCTGCTTAACTCCACGCTCACTGCCTCGTGAGTGGCCTGGCCTGGGATAGAGGGCAGGTGGCTCAGTGTTCTGGCATTGGGGGCATATTCATGACTAGGAGCATGAGCATTTGGGGGTGGCGATGGCAGGGGGAGCCCAAATCCTGCCCTGGTATGTGAGTGCTGGCATCTACAGCAGACAGCACTGCTGGGGCCTGAGGTTCACAGTGGGGACCATAGCCACCCTGTAAGGACATCAGCCAAGGAAGGACTGTCTCTCCCCGCTCTGCAGGGAGGTCTGAACAGAGGGAGGCCCTGGAGAGTGCCACTGACCAAGGGACAGCAGACAAGCATGCCTCCTGAGAGGTACTGGCACCTGCTTCAGCTGCTGTTCCTGTGTGCATGAGCTGGAGTGCCAGGAAGGACCTCTGTACCATCTGGGGCCTGAGGGCCCGATTTGCACTTTGCTAGGCTGGACGGAGTGGAGGATCCTACAGCCCAGGCTACAGTAGCCCCCACACACCTGTGCAGGGGTCCCTTGTCTCCTATTCCCTGAGGCTACCAGTTCTACTCCTCCAGGCTGGGCTGGGCTCCCAGGCTGCCCTTCCCACCTATACTCTCATTGGCCTCCAATGGGTCATGCTCCTGCCCTGTCCCCGCCTTCCCTAGATCCCACTGTCCACCCCAGGCTTGGGCTGGGCTCTGTGTAAAGTTGCATATTTATTGAGCTTTTGGTTCTTTTATAAAGACTTGTACATACTTCACTGGAAAGAGTCCTTTGCTTTTGGAAGCCACCCCCTTCCTGACTCAGGTGTATTTGAGCTCAGGTCAGGCTCTGGTTGGGCACCTCCCTGTGACCCTGTGTCACTCCATCTGCAGTCAGGCACCAGTAGAGTACACTTAGAAAGCAGCCGCGAAGTAAGGGGGGTGGGACTGTCACCAAACAAACAGCCCAGGACTCTTTCCTTGCCTCAGCCCTGAGCACTGCCATTCGATCCTCTCATGGGGAGTCCTCCCTGGGACTCAATGTTGTAGAGTTTGAGGTTTTAAAGGACCACCAGAGGTATCAATTAAGTAAAGCCAATCTTAGGAGTCTTTATTAGGTTGGCCAACGGACTGTCCCTCTACGTGGATACAGAGGGAACAGCACAGACCATAAGAAGGGAAGGGTTTATATAGGGTAAATTATACTGTCAGGGGCTACGTGCAATCCAGCCAGCTAGCAAGCAAGCAAGCAACCGACTTTCCTCATTGATTTGCTACAGAAGCAAAAAGCATCACAGCACTTGCAGTTACAGTAGTCACAGATCACAAGACTTGAGTAGGGAAACGATTTTACTCTGAACAATGGGTCAGGCAATAATAGTGTCATACTGGCGGCTACTCTGTTCTTTATTTATTTTTTAATTTTAGCCACTTTACTTCCTTCTTCCAAGCAAGGGCAAGGGGTTGCTGGGGTTTCTTATCCCACCTCATCAAGACTGAGTCCTTCCCAGTACCCACACCCAGGCAAGTACTCTGGGAAAGGTGGGTCTCCCACCTGGATGCCTTCAGGTACTTTTAGGTTGAACTCCTCCACCTCCACTCCCATGACTGCGAGTGCTGAGGCCCAGAGAAGGGAAGTCACTAGCCCTGCTCCACCTGAAAAACTCTGGCTCTCCCGATGGGGCTAGACTAAGGGCTGGGGACCGGGATGCAGCTGTCCTGTGCACCTGGCCTGGTTGCAGCCTGGAGCATTTGCTGTCCCGCCGCCTGGGATCTGGCTACCAGCTCCAGGTGAGCTAAGGTGCGCCCAGAGGCACTGGGCTGGTGGAGTCTGCCGGCTGGGGCGGTGTCCCGCGAGCTCCGCCCTGTCTCCCAGGCGGGCTTTCCTCGACGGGGCGGGGCGGGCCCTGTGGCGCGCGCTGGGTAGAGCGCGTGGAGCCAGGGAGCTCCCGGGGTTCGCACGCTTGTCCCGAGGGCCCAGCGCGGGACGAAGCCATGGAGCCGTGGCCCGGGGACTGCGCGGCAGCGGTGGCTGCGGTGAGTGGGGACGCAGGAAGCAGGGAACAGCTTCGAAATTGCCCTCTGTCTGGGCTTCGAGGGCCTGGGGCAAGGAAGGGACTCCAGGCCAGTCTCCGTACTGGCCCGGCTGGGGACTGGGCGGACCGCCCCTTGCGACCTAGTTAAGAGACTCCGCCCGGACGGGGGCCCTTCCGCTGAGAGGAAACCCCTCCCAGGGGCCAGAGAGATTTGGGGCCCCCAGGCAGTACAGGGTCTGTTCCCCACTTCACGGAAAGCATGACTGGGGGAGGGGTGCGGCCGATTCCTCCCTGGCAGGGAGGGGAAGCTCCGGTGCTGCAGGCAGGAGCCTCCCCCGGGCTCCTCCAAAGCCTGGTCGGTGCACTGGGGGAAGGAAGTTAGTCTCACACCCGTCCCCCACCCCACTTGTGAATGCAAATGGTAGGGCCTCTGAAATGGAGGAGCCTGGGCAGGGAGAGGTCCCCAAAGGACAGTCACCAAGCAGTACCCTCCCCCAGGCGCTTGTTCTGCTGCTGCTGGGTGCCCAGGCTTGGGGCAGCACTCTGAGCCCCAAGTGTGACTGTGGTAGTGATTTCCAGAAGAAGAATGGTACATTTTGTTGCAGGGGCTGTCCAGCAGGTAAGTGGAGACCGGACTGGGAGAGGCATGGGGGCAGGTGAAGTAGGCAGTGCTGGGGAGAGGTGTCACATAGGCCTGGGCTGAGCTGGGAGAGATGCAGGGAGCCAGAGATATGGAGAGAGGGAGGAAGAGGGCTATTGGGGAGCAGGTTGGATGGTGCTGGGCAGCTTCTTTTGACCACCTGACCCCTGTTGGGTTCCACAGGGCACTACCTGAAGGGCCCCTGCAAAAAGCCCTGTGATACCTCCACATGCCTTCTGTGTCCACCGGGCAGTTTCTTAGCCAGAGAGAACCACAGTGAGAAGCAGTGTTCCCGCTGCCAGGCCTGTGATGAGGAGGGTGAGGGGCTGCCCAGTGCTCAGTGGGGGGTTCTTGAGGACAAGCCCCCACCACCAAGATCTTTCTGAAGGAAGTTTCTGGCTTGGACCTAGCCTTTGGGTGTGAGGACCCTGTGGCCGCTCTCTGCTCTCCACCGAACCCTCCACCTTGATTCTGCTTCAGGGTACCCTGTCTCCTCTTTTCTTAGAGGTCCCCTCCTCTCTTTGGGGGTTTCCCTGCCTCTTGTTCTCTGGCTATTCCTGTTTCCTTTCTCTGGGAACATGCCCCTGCCTCTCTGTGGGAGTCTTTGGCCCAGACCACCTCTGGAGTCCCCATCTCCTTCACCTCGCCAGCCTTCCAGGTGGCCCTGGAGAACTGCTCAGCAGTGGCAGACACCCACTGTGGCTGTGAACCAGGCTGGTTTGTGGAGTGCAAGGTCAGTCAGTGTAGCAGCAGTTCACCCTTCTTCTGTCGCCCATGCCTAGACTGCAAGACCCTGCACCGCCATACACTGCTGTCCTGTGAGTACCTCCAATACTGGGCTACCGATTCCCAAACCCCTCTCCCTGCTCTGCTCCATGCTGACGACACACCTCTCTTGGACTTCAGGTTCCAGCAAAGACTCTGACTGTGGGACCTGCCTACCTGGCTTCTATGAGCATGGTGATGGCTGCGTACCCTGCCCCACGTAACTTCCTGGCTGCCTCGGGCCAGAGGGAAGGGAGGCTCTGAGCAGGGTGGGGGCCTCAGGGACATGTGCTGCTGGTTCAGGGCACAGGAAGGAGGGAACTTAGCCCTGTGGTGGGTGGGCCCCATTTCAAGGAAACTTAGGATAGTAAAAGGAAAGCTGGATTCACCTTACGTCAACAAATAAGGGGTCATTTCTTTGTTATCTGCCAGAATTTCCATTAGTAATCAGATTCTGTTGGGCAAGTGGAGAGAGCTAACCTTTCTGCTGTGAGGTTCTTCTTGGGGCTATGATAGGGGTAAGGCACTTTATTCATTTACCCATTCAAGCCTTTTCTGGAGCATCTCCCATCTTCTAGACACTGTTCTAGGCTGTGTGGATGCAACAGGGAACAAAGTAGGCAAAAGTCCCTATGCTTTTAGAGTTGACAGTTTGTGACTTTAGTGTAGAAGGAGCTCGAGGCATGGTGGTGGTTGTTATTGTCACTGGGCACACACTGAGGTTTCAGCATACTTCAGAAACATGTCGGGACAGAGTGAGAAGAGAGGCCTGGGGAGGGAAAGGCCTCCAGGATGGAGAAGGCCCCAGGCAGTCCTGGGTAGCCCCCCTCTCCTGCCCCATGGACTCCCTCAGCCCACCTCCCCTCTCGTGCAGGAGTACCCTCGGGAGCTGTCCTAGGCCCTGTGCTGCTGTTTGTGGCTGGAGGCAGAGTAAGTGGTGTGCTGGGAATGCAAGTGGGACAGCTGGGCTGGCCCAAGAGGAGGTGGGGGGTAGTAACTGCCTGACCCACTACTGCTCTTTCAGTGTTCTGGGTCCAGGTACTCCTGGCTGGCCTGGCAGTCCCACTCCTTCTCATGGCCACCCTGACCTACACATACCGCCGTTGCTGGTCTCAAAAGCCCAAGTTTCCCAGTAAGTACACACCACACACACTCACACTTTCAGGGGTCTGGATGAGGAGGGGGAAACTGAGGCAGGGATTGTGCAATACAGATGAACCGAAGAGGAGCTGGACAGCACCCAGATGTGGAAGGCTTGCCTGGTTGCTGACCATACCCTCTTTTCTTTGACAGCAGGTGAACCTGGGACAGAGGCTCTGACCCCACCGGTAGGAATCTCAGTATGTGGAGGGAAGATGGTGAGCAGCATTTGAGCTACCTTCTGGAGCTGGGAGATTGGGTCTTATAACTTGTGATCCACAGTGCTTGGCATGGTGGCTGGCACAGGGAGACCTAATGCACAAAGCTGAGTTATCAGTGGCTAAGACCAGCACAGTTCCTGCCTTCACGGGGCTCTCAGTCTGCTGGAGTTCACACGAATCCATGGGATAGGTGCCCCCATGGAGTTGAGGGAACAACAGGGGGGCAGGAGGGACAGGGTATTCCAGGAAGAGGCAAGAACTCATCTATGGAGAGAGCAGGGCCAACGGAGTGAGGTAGCATGGAGGGTGGGGGCGGGATCTGCAAACTGAGCCAGGGACTGTCTATTCCTAGTCAGAGACTGCAGCAAAGGGGCCTCTCTATGCAAGCAGGGTTGCCCTGAGCCTCTCTTGGTTTCCAGGCCTCCCACCGCTCACCCTCGGACAGTGCTCACACCCTTCTGGTGCTCCCCGACAACCCTAAGGCCTGCACGGTCCAGTTGCGAGACAAATGCTGGACCCTTAGCTCCCCCGGGACCCAGGAGGCACCCTGTCCGCAGATGACATGGCCTTGGGACCAATTGTCCAACAGAGCTCTTGGTAAGTGACCAAAATGCCCTGAGGCCTTGACCCCATTCTCATGAGTCCAAAGTGGTTTCGCAACTTGTCCATTTTGGTTCTCTAACTGGCTGGTCTCCCTGCATAGCCCCCTGCAGGCTTTCTGACAGGGGGACCTGCAAGCCCCTGACCCCGCCTCTGGCCGTGGCCCACATTCCCCATTGGTTCTCTATGGCCCCGCCCCCAGGCCCTCCTCCGGCGCCGGTGCTTTCGTCAGCGCCCCCTGCAGACTCTCCGGCTGCTGTGCTCCAGCCGGGCCCTCAGCTCTATGATGTGATGGACGCTGTCCCCGCGCGGCGCTGGAAGGAGTTTGTGCGCACGCTGGGGCTGCGAGAGGCGGAGATCGAGGCCGTGGAGGTGGAGATCGGCCGCTTCCGAGACCAGCAGTATGAGATGCTCAAGCGCTGGCGCCAGCAGCAGCCTGCCGGCCTGGGCGCAGTCTATGCAGCTCTGGAGCGCATGGGGCTGGATGGCTGCGCTGAAGATCTGCGCAGCCGCCTGCAGCGCGGCCCGTGACGCGGCCACCCGCCACTTACGTGCTCCAGTGGCCCTTACAGAATCCCTAAGTATGGTTACTTATACGTGTAGATATTTTATGTCACTTATTAAGACACTGGAATGGCCCTGCGTAGCAGCGCCAGCCAGCCTCACCCCTGCTCATCCGCAGGGCTCTGGTTAAGGTGAAGAAGCGTGGCCCCAATATCCAGAGAGGGTCAAGAGATTGCTTAGTTGTTTCTCGGCCTGGGCTTGGCTGAGACCTTGGTATTAAATGTATCAAGAAAAGTGGCATCTTGGTGTTCTGGGGGGTATTCAGTGGCCTGGGCTTCTGAAGGGCACCCCAGGTCCGGACCTCACTAGTGTGGTCCTAGCTCCTAAGCCTGCCCCTCCTGCGTGCACCGTGACCAGGTACCCGAGAAGGAGAGAGCAAGACGGCGAGAGTAAGCTGAGTCCTGGAGGCTGAGAGCGCTTTAATCGGGGTGTGAGGCGGCAGGGCGGGATGAGGGGCAACAGTTAGAGACACAGGTTCAGGACCTCATCCTCCACTCCACCAGGGCAGTGAAAGGGTCCAAGGAGCGAGGGCCCCTGGCTGTGGACTGGTCGCAGATCTAACCAGAGCGGGGACTGGTGCAGAGGTGGGGCCCCCAGAGCAGCAGTTGGGTTCCGATGGGCAGTTTTCATCTTTTCTGGTAAACAAATGACTGAGAGGAAACTCTCGGGGCAGGGATGAGAAAGTGGCCCGGGCTGGGCGCAGATCTGGGTCAGGGAGGGAGGAAAACCCCGTCCCCAAGCTTGGGGCCTTGCCTCCGCCCAGGATGCGCCGGCAACGCGGTTCCGGGGTGCGGGGGAGGTGCTGCGGTCAAGCCGCGCCCCGCAGGAAAACAAAGTACCACCCACGGGGCTGGGGCAAGTTCTGCACACTTTGACATTCAACCAACATGCAAATATATGTAAGTCGGCATGCAAGTAAGCAGGTTTTTTTTTTTGTTTTTTTTTTTTTGCGTCAGCAGCTTGGGCACTTTCTCTGGGTGACTGCGGGTGGCGTCGGCAGGGACAGGCTCCAGCGTGGAGGGCGGGGGACGGGGGGGGGTGTCAAGGAATGGTCAGGGAGGGGTCAGGAGGGGGTCCAGCTCAGGAAGGGATCGGCAGCACAGCTCCCCAGCCCTTCTGCTCAGGCCAGGGCGGGGGCTGGGCGCCCCTCTCCCCCATTCGAGAGACTACAGAAGGGGGCCGCAAAGTCTAGTACTTAGCGATGTCCCCCTTCTTCAGGATGACCTGTCGCTGCCAGGGCGCCAGTTTGGTCTCATCGTAGCCCAGTGTCCGCAGCTTCTCCGACTGCTCTTTCTCCCGCTGCAATTCTTCCTGCTTCTGCCGCTCCTCCTCTTTCCTGGAGACGGGTGGGGGCAGAACCCAGTGAAATCTGGAGGCAAATACTGGTGCTGGCATAAAGGCCACCTGGCAGCAGGGCGACAGCCTGCAGCACCCCTTGCTGCAAGGAGTGAGCTGAAGGCAGAGGCTAGGTTGTTGAGGACAGAGGTGCTTTCCTGGGGACAGACTGGGGTTGTTGGGACACACATAAAGTGGGCAAGTAGGAAAATGAGGTTGGGTTATTGGGGGGTGGAGGTGTTTCTGGGAACAGGTGCTGGGGCTCTGTGAGAAAGGGTGTCACAGCATGCTGGGGAAAGATTATTGGGGTCAGGACTAAGGAGCTGTCAATCTCAACTTTGGGGGACTGGCTTGGGCTACTGGGGAGCAGAGGGACCATGGAATTGGGGGACAGGGGTTGGGGAATTCAGGACTGGTTAATTAGAACATAAGGGTAGCAGCCATGCACACGTGGCTGTCAAGCATTTGAAATGTGGCTGGTACAGACCAGAATGTACCATAATCATAAAATGCTCACTGTATTTTGAAGACTTAATTTTTAAAAAGTAAGTATAAAATATCTCATTTTTTTTGAAACAGGATGTCACTGCTTTTCAGGCTAGAGTGCTGTGGTGTCATAGCTTACAGCAACCACAAATCACTAGGCTCAAGGGATCCTCCTGCCTCAGCCTCCTGAGAAGCTGGGAATACAGGCATGCCCTAGGCTTTTTTTTTAAGAGACAGAGTCTCACTTTGTTGCCCTCAGTAGAGTGCTGTGGCATCACAGCTCACAGCAATCTCCAGCTCTTGGGCTTAGCCAATTCTCTTGCCTCAGCCTCCCAAGTAGCTGAGACTACAGGTGCCTGCCACAAAGCCCAGCTATTTTTCTGTTGCAGTTTGGCTGAGGCTGGGTTTGAACCTGCCACCCTCAGTATATGGGTCACTGAGCCACAGGTGCCACCCTTTTTTAATGTTTTGAAGAAATGAGGTCTCATTATGTTACCCAGGCTTGTCTCAAACCCTTGACCTCATGCATTTCCCCACTTTGGCTTCCCAAAATACTAGGATTATGGGTGTGAGCTACCATGTCCAGCTAGTAATTTTCATGTTGCAGTAATATTTTCTGATATATTGGGTTAAATAAAATATTGCTAAAATTAAGTTTAACCTATATCTATTTTTTCAATGTGGCTATTAAAAATTTTAAATTACAGATGTGGCTCATACTATATTTCTGTTAGCACAACACTGGGCTAGATTAATGGGGGAAGAAACTAACTTTTTAACTAAACAGATAATCAAGGTTATTGATACTAAGGTTGGGCTGTGCAGCAGAAAGATTAGCTTAATAGAAGACCAGGCCTGACTAATTTGGGAGCAGGCTTATTATCAGAGTGTAAGAGCTAGATTTTGGGTAGTGGGCTAAGTTATTGGGGGGCAGGGGTCTGGGGGCATTGTGGGGAGCAGAGAGGCTGTGCGCAAGGGCTAAGAAACAAGATTACTAGGGAAGGGCTAGAGGAAGGGATAAATATCTGGACTGGGTGGGGATAGGTGGCAGGTTGGGGCCAGCTGCACACTTACCGCTTCTGCTCCCTGGAAGGAAAAAGAGACAGTGTTAGTTGGTGCATCTATTTAAGGGACATGATCAAGACATCCTGCCGGGGCAGCCTCGGCCTGACCCCCCAGATCACCTCTCCTCTTCCAGCTTCTTCCTTAGGATATCTCGCCTCCAGGCAGGTATGTTGGCCAGCCGGGCCTCCTCTTCTTCCTCCTGAAACACAAACATAAAGTTTCAGGATCAGTAGGAGCTGGGAGGTATGGAGCCAGATGGGGGGGCACCCCTAACCCAGGAGACCTGGAGGAGTCAGGGACAATGGGTGGCAGATGTGGTCATAGGAAGAAAATGTTTTGATGTTCTTCTATAGGACAAGTGAATAAGGTGCCTGATCATAGCCAATGCAGAAAGGTCTCCTGTCCCACAGGAATCCAGCCTATGTCCTAGAGGAGGCACTTAGAGCTCAGTGTAGGATGGAAGCAGAAAATGAATAGTTGGGCCCCAGAGACCCTGAGCCTGATTCCCCATAGGGGCAGGTGGACAGGTGGCCCTATGTCTGTATCCTTTGGGCAGATACAGACATACATCTCTGCACATCCTGTCAGCTTGAGGAGGCTTAGGCTGCCTCTGGGTCCCCTGTATGTGAAGGACCTTCTGGCCCATGATGGCCTCTCCCTACTGGAGCAGTCACCTGCTCTGCAATCGTGGGGCGGCAATGATATGGGGGAGGGTGTCCAATGCAGGCTGCTTACAGCAAAGAGATTTATTTCTTGAATGTTACACAGGATAAAGAGTCTGTACACAGCACACAGAACACTGCACACGTGACTCCCTTGACCTTAGCAGAGGAGGTAGCTGTGAATTTCAGTAAAAATCCAGAGAGAGATTGCACCACACTACCTCAAGGGGGACCCACTGTCCCCGACTCAGAGAGACATCTGCTGCCTGGCTCCACACAGAGCCCAGCAAGGCCAGAGGGCCAGAGGAAGACACCTGGTTGGCTCTGTGCCATGCCCTATCTCTCCTGGCCAATGCCCCATATCCTGCTCTAACGGGACCTCAAAGCTTGAGGCAGCCTGGTCCTGGGCACTCTGGGGTTTTCAAAGCTGCCCGTCCCAATTCTTCCTGCCAACCCTTGGCCTCCAAAAGGCATCAGACAAACATCCAGGCCCATGTTAAGATGCTTGAGGGTAAATTCCTAATTCCACTGCTCAGATGTCAAACAGCTCTGCCTCCTTCTCCTTCCAGAAGGAGAAGCTTCGATCAATATATCGGCAGATGTCCTCGTTGCTAAACTCGCCCATCTCAGACACCAGCTCCAAGGGGTCTTCGAAGACAGTGGCTTCGGAACCTGGAGGGTCCGAGGCGGGGGGAGGCTCAGCAGGTGGAGGCTGCGGTGCAGGGGCTGGGGCTTCCGGCTGGTCCTCTGGCTGATCCTCTATCCAAGCTGGGGTGGCCTCTTCAGCCATTTCCTTCTCCTCCTCTTTCTCTCCCGCCTCTCCTTTCACCTCCTCCTCTCCTTTCTCCTCCTTCTCCTCCTCCTCTTTCTCCTCTTCCTCCTTCTGGTCCTTTTCTTCTCGGGCGGGCTCAGCCTCTGGGCTGTCTCCAAAGAACTGGCGCCTGAGGTCCTCAAAGCCGTCACTCCAGCTGCGTCGGCCGGCCTCCACCTCCTCGAGCACGACTCTGTGGAAGAGACGGATGAGCTCCCACGGGTGGCTACCCAGTCGGTCGAACATCTCATAGCAGAGCAGGTGGCGGAACTTGCGCTCTTCCTGGCTCAGGCCCATCTCCAGCAGCTGGAAGTAGCCGAGCATGAAGAGGTCCAGCGTGAGGCTGTCGTAGCGTGGGGGCGCGCCGCCATCGAGGGGCGGCAGGAAGTGCTCGGGCCAGTACAGGCCGTGCGCCAGGCTCGGGCCGCGCGGGTGGGACGCCGGCACCTGCCGCAGCAGACTCCTCCAGTGGCCTAAGAGCTTGCCCACCACCTGCCGCTGCTTCAGCAGGTGCCGCAGACGCTCGTCGGGGCCGCGGGCCGCACTGTCGCTTGCTGGCAGCTGGGGGGCGTCCGCAGCCTCGGGTCCGGGGTCAGCCCCGGAGGCCACTACTCGGGGCAGCAGTCTGCGCAGGCGCGCCTGGGCGAGGCGCCCAGGGTCGTGGAAGGTCCACTTGCGCCAGTGCTCCAAGAAGAGGTAGACGATGCGCTCCTTGCGCATGTCGAGGTAGTCCTGCACGCCGCGCAGCTCGGTGGACTGCGGCGGCCTGAGCGCCAGCTGCTCAGGTTCGGGCAGCGCCACCTGGCGCTCCGGCTCCTCGGGCCGGCCCGGGGCACCTAGGGGCTCCTTAGGGGTGCTGGCTTCGCCCGAGCTGGCTGCCACGTAGTCCTCCTCGAGGATAGGTTCGCGGCCGGGGACGCCAGCGGGCTGTGACAGCTTGTGGCTCGGGCCGTCCGCTGACGCTGCACCTTGCGCGCGCTGCTCGTAGGTGGCACGGAGTTGTCGCACGGACACACCACACTCGAGGATCTCGCGCGCCACGGCTTCACGGCACCAGCTGAGGGAGTGAGACCGGCCCAAGCAGAGTGGCCCAGGCCGCCAGGGCGCATCAGGCAGTGGCGCCAGCGGCTGACCTGTGTCGGCGGCCAGCAGCTCGGCCAGGTGCGTGGGCCGGCCGCCCAGCGCGGCCAGCAGCGTGGCCATGCTCTTGAGCAGCGTGGAGATCTTGTTGCACCAGGCGGGCAGGCTGGCGGCGCGGCCGTGCATGCGGCGCGGGTCGACGGTGAAGCGTGGCGCTGACAGGGCAGCTGAGATGGGCAGCAGCTGCTCCAGCTCCAGCTCCAGCTGTTGCAGGCGTGCCTCCAGCTTCTGCGCCTTGTGGAGCACCTGCAGGTTCTCGATTTGCTGCTCGATGCGGAGGATGTCGGCCTCAGTCATGAGCTCGCCGAAGGGCCCGAGGATGGCATTGTGCTCCTGGGAGTACCTCCAGCCATCGCGGGGGTAGCAGCACGAGCTGGCGGCTGTCAGCTAAGGCGAGGAGACAAGAGAGGGGAGGGAGGAGCGTCTCCCTCTGCCCCAGCTCCCGCAGTGGCACTGGGGGACCATTTGCATGTCCTGGGTGGTGTAATGGCTCCGCTGGGGCTGCGTTTGCAGGGACAGGCTGCGCCTGGCGGGTGGGAGATTAAGCTGGGGAGAGGCTTGGCTTCAGCCGGGCCACCACTCCGGGCTCTGTGCAGTGTCCACTTTGGTCGTTGGCGGGGGGCATAGCTGGTTTGCTGGGCGCTGCTGCTGAGGCAGGGAGGGCAGGCCGGCATACTGGGTCTCCATGCCTGGCCTGGCTGCTCATTACACCACCCAAAGAACATGCAAAAGGCATTGAAGCCGAGTGGCACTGTGGCCCTCCCCACCCTAGCCAAGGCGTGCAATTGTGAGGCTTCTGTCCCCAGACTGCTGACCCCTTCTGCCTCTCCCCTGTGGTTCCAGACCTCCTGTCCCATGGTCATTGTTTTATGTGCTGAATGAGAGGCCACTCTGCTCTTAAGAAGGCTAAAACTGGGTGGTACCTGTGGCTCAAAGGAGTAGGGCACTGGCCCCATATGCCAGAGGTGGTGGGTTCAAACCCAGCCCTGGCCAAAAACTGCAAAAAAAAAAAAAGAAGGCTAAAGCTGCAGCTTCCCCTGGAAACTCCAGCTGGGCTAATAATACAATGCACAGAACACGGCTGTCCATACACTTAACCTCCTCATTTAGTCCTCACTTTTCTCCACTTCTGGCCACTACTCCAGTGCACAGTTTTTTCACCCTGAGGGCAGCCCGCACCACACAGACCTCTGAAATCTACCTTGATCCAGGACAACACATTCCCCACATACAAATGTGATGAAGCCGCTGCCCTGCTCAACCCTCCGGGCTCTCCACTGCTCCAGGAGAAAGTCCATTCTCTTCTAGGCAGCTGTCCAGGCCTTGGTAACCTGACCCCCATTGCCCTCTCCAGCTCAGTACCCCACGGTACAGTGACAGAGCCACATCCACTCTGGCTTCACGACCACTCGGCCTGCCTGCTGGCTTTTCACCCAACTCTTTTCCTGGCCACCTTTTGGTCATCCTCCAGGTCTTTCCTTAGACTTCACTTTCTCCTTCTCCAACACTGTCCCCGGCCCAAATAAGGTGGCCAGTTTAGGGCAGTCCTAGTCCCCTGCACTCCCCACCACAGCTGGGTGAGTCATAACAGCTCAATTATTTGTCTCTCCAATTGCTCATTCACTCACATTATCCTGTCTTGTCTCCTTGGGAGTGCTTATTTGCTTGTTATTCACACGCACACCCTAGAGCCACCTTGACAGCAGGCCCTAATATGTTTGCTGTGGATCCTCAGAGGCTACAACTGCACATGGGCACATAAATGGCGCTTGGGAACATTTGTTGGACAAATGAACAGCAAACCGTCTTGCCAGCTAATGATGATCAACTCATCTTACAGTTGAGGAAACCAAGGCTGCACAAGGCTGAGTACGAGTAGCGGGGAAGGGGCAGTGCAGGGACAGAGCCCAGGTCAGTCTGACAGAGCCCAGCAGCTGTTTTGTGTGATCCCTAGACCAGCAGCATTGTTAGCCTCATCCAGAAGCTTGTTAAAAATGCAGAATCTTGGCCCCACCCAGATCTCCTGAATCAGAAAAAGCACTTTAACAAGATTCCAGGTAACTTGAAGGCATGGGTCAGAGTTTGATAAACACTGCCACCTCACTTTAAAGGACAGACTGGGTCCTGAAACCCTGTTTTCCCCAAAGGACATGGGAGCCAAAGGAGTCGCAGGTGGGGGTGTTATGGGAAATGGGCTGTAGGTGCCAATGCAGACCCCAGGTCCTCTGGGAAGCCCCTCCCCACCCACCTTCCGCCTCTGCTCCTCTTCCTCCTGCATCTTCACCTGCAGCTTGCGCACCATCACCTGGCGCTTCCACTCCGGGATGGGCCGGCCCTGCTCATCATGCGTGGGGATGAGCGTCTCCACGTCCAGCGGCACTCCTGGCGCAGGGGTAGCGGGGGGCGGCGGTGCCAAGCTGCCATTGAGCAGTGGCTGGAGCCCCGCCGCCGGTGGGGTGGGGCTCCGGGCCGGTGATGGAGAGGGCGGTCTCGGCGGTGGCTGCAAGTCCGGCTGCAGGGAGAAGCCGCAGGGCTGAGTGCCTGGCAGGCTCCGGCGCTTGGAGCAGGGGCGGGAGCTCCTGTCAAGCCCGCCTACCTGGGAGGCTGGCTGCCCACTGCCTGAGAACACTGTGGTCAGCCCCTTGCTCTGGGGCGTGGGCTTTAGGCTCTTGCCTGCCTTAATCTCAGCCAGTAGCTCGGAGTTGTCGCCGGTCGGAGACATCATGTTGAAAGACTTGGTGCCTACATTGAGGCAGGAGAGGAGGTGTTGGTTGGGGATGGGGCCCTGTGCACCGCCACCCCAACCTGCCCCTCTGCTGCCTCGGCCCCAAACCCCGACCAGCTGGGGACCCACCCTCAGGCAGCTCTCCAGATCCCTATTCCATGGGCAGCTTTCAGCCCCCCACCCCCAGAGCATGACAACCCCACCATCCTCCCAGCCCTACTCACAGGATGTAGGGCCTCTGCCTGGAGGCCCCTGGTTCATGGTGGCTTTGGGACAGGCCCTGGGGACGCCAGCATATGTCTCCGCCCAGCCACTGCCTGGCCAGCTCCAAAACACTACCTGGGGCTGGCCACCCGACCTTTGTCCTAGGTTCCCTGGCTCAGCCCTGCTGGGGTGGAGTCTCCCTCTGGCCCTCTCCCTGCATCAGTAAAGCCCAGTGACCCTTGGACTGAGTCAATTGGGACTTCTATGGCCATACAGAGTCAGGACTCTGAAGTGTCAGCACCCAGCTGGCCACCCCACCCCATCCACTGACAGACAGATGTGAGAGCAGACATGGTGGTTAGAAGCTGAGAGCACATATATAGCAAAGCACAGCTCAGTTCTGGGGGCCCCAGGGAAGCACAGCCCTTACTAAGGACCCAGGAAGAAGGGCAGGCAGATACCATGCAAATGCCCAGCACAGAGTTTGCATTTTCTGACTTGGCTGGAGGAGGTGAAAGGGGGTTTGTGGAGGGATGACTCCTGAGCCCTGAGGGGCCAGGTCTGGGACAGGGGAACAAAATGGGCCAACAGCTCTTGGATTCCCAAGCTGGGGATCCCAGAGGGCAGTCACAGGGAGGGAAAAGTGGTGTGGCTGGCTCATTGATTTAGGCAAAACCAGCAGCCAGGTGCAGGACACTTGGGCACATACATGGTGTGTGCCAGGCACAGGAGGGTTTTGGGGTGTGAGGACCCCATGGCATTGAGGTCCCCTCACCTGCTGGCCCCGGACCCTGCCCTTTCCTTGAGTCCCAGCCCTTCTGCCTTGCTTCTCCTGCCCTCTCCCCCACCCCGCGCCTCAGCCTTAGCCAGGAGCACACAGCTACTCACTCTTCCTGTGCCTCAGGACTCTCACTTCTAGGGACCAAGAGGAGAGAAGTGACAGTGAAGTTAGGAGGGAGAGGGATGAGACTGGGACAGCAGGGCACAGTGAGAGAGAGCCAGGAAGGGGAGCGGAGAGGAGAGGAGGTATTTTCTTGCCCTTCTGGCTCTGGCTCTGAGGCCCCACAAGGGTGATCCATTCAGCTCCCAGCTTGGCTGGTGCCCCTGAGGACTGGGTACGGACACCACTGACCTCGGCCCCCCTCACAAGGGCCTCTATTTTGGCACTGGGTTGGGATAGGGCATCTGGCCCAGGGTCTGCTGGAAAGGGTGTCTGGGAGAGGCCCATAGGTTCTTGTTTGTTCCAGCTTCAGCCCTGCTACAGGCTGCAGCCGGAAGGAGAAACTGACCCAGAGCTGGGGATGGGGTGGGGACCTGAAGGCTCAGCTGCTAGTGTACATGCTACCATAGGGACCCCAGGGGACCCAGCTCTGTGCTCCTAATCAGGGAGCTGAAGCTGTGGGTGGTGCCACTAAGCATGGTCTTCGTATTTAGTGGCTGGCTGAGAAAGGCATCCCCGTGGACTGGGACCACCAGCACCCACACCACCTCCTGGGCCTTCCAGAGGGCCTGGCAGGGAGAATACTGCTTCATCCTACAGAAAAGCCTAGGAATCGTGGTCACCAGTTTAGCTCTTAAAATAAGAATTCCTAGGGAAGTCACCAGATGTCGAGAGGGGAAACCAAGATGGGTTTGTCCCCAGGGCACCTTTGTCCCCAGGGCACCTGGGAGGGTCTGGCTAGGAAGAGTCTCTGACATATCTAAAAAGGGCTCAGTCTGGCTGCTTGGAAGGATCAAAGAAAGAGCTGCGGAGAGGAAGAGAGTCTTGGGATCCACAAAGCCAGTTCTGGCGTTTAGAGCATTCCTGCAGCCCCTAGGAGGCTTTCCCTAGCCAGTGGAAGAAGGGCCCAGAGAGGGAAGTGGACTTGCACCAGGCCACACAGCCTAGTCTGCAGGGGCAGGAACTAAATCAACCCTGGGCCTTGTTTCAGAGTCAAGTACTCAATGGGGCAGGGGCTGTCAGAAAGAACGAGCAGAACAGGAGGAAGGACTAGGGCAGTCGCCCCTGGGGAGAGGGCGGTGTCTAGACTGCCCTCCCCTTTCCGGGCTAGCGCCGCCCCCCACCCCGCATCCCGCCCTTACTTACTGCCGGTGGACGAAGAGGAGCGGCGCTGCCCGCAGCCAGCGCCCTCGAAGGGCAGAGGCGGGGCAGGCGGCGGCGAGCTCAGGGCCTCAGGCAGGGGCGGCGGCGGCGGGGGAGGCGGCGGCGGCAGCGGCAGCTCCTTGGACGCCTTGGAGTCCGCAGCGCAGCCGTTATGCACAGGGTTCCCGGGGAGCAGAGCCGCCTGCGGGGGAGCGGAGGGGCCAGCTACTGAGCAGCGGGTGACGACGCCGGGTCCCGGGCGGCCGGCGGGTGCGGGTTGGCCGGCACGCACTTCCTCGCTGTGCGCCATGCCCGGGCGTCCGGCCAGCGGGTCCTTGGGGCAGCGGCCCAGCTGGCGGTAGTAGTCCCCCGTGCTGGGCTGCTTGCTGAAGGTGCGGGTCTTGCGGCCGGAGTCCTGCCTCCGCAGGCCGTTGTGGCTTTCACAGGAGCTTGGCTGCGGGGAAGACAACGGCCTCTGGGCTTTGGGCACTTTCCTTAATGCCCCCACGATCCCTCCCCAGCTCTTCACCTTCCCAGGGCTCGTGGCCAGTGGCTGTCGAGGGGTGCAGTCTGCTGCGTCCTCGAACCTGCTGTTCTCAGAGCCGGGACGAGGGTCGTGGGGCCTCTGGAGAAGGGCAGGCTCGGCTACTGGGAGGGGTTCTGGGCCCGGGCCAAGGGGCACAGGGGCCCTCACTGAGGCCAGGAGGGGCGGGCCTAGGGGCGGGGTGGCCCAGCCCAACGCCAGGGGGAGCCGGAGAAGGAGAACCTCCCAGCTTAGCCAGCGCGGGGGCCCCGGCTGCACCCAACGCCTGGCTGCCAGATCGACCTGCGCTCCCCAAAGCTTTGCCAAGCCCTGTCTTGCGGGGGCTCTGGCTCGGAGAGAGCCTTCAGGAGAGCCCGTGCCCTACTAGACTCCCGCTTGTCCAGGGCTTCCCGGCCGCGGGGCCCGGGGCTGCTCCTACCTGCGACCGTGCCGGTGGCCCCCTCTGTGTACCTGGCAGCGGGGGCGGCCAGACCCGACACCTGCGTTACCTGATCCTTCCTCTCAGGTTACAGCCCGGCCTGCGCCCGCCCGCGCGTGGCCGGCCTATGAGCTCAGTCGGCCTGACATCACCTGGGGCCCACCAATCCCAGGCCGACGCCCCCCTCCCTTCCCCAAGCAGTCCGGGATGCAGCACCTGTCCACTGGGCCGCGCCCGCCCCACAAACCAGATGTGGCTCCGCCCCCGCGCCTGTCCCTAAACTAGATGTCGAGCACCATGACCTTCATCCCCCTACCCATTGCAGGAGACCAGCCGAGAGTCTGTGAGTGGGCAGTAGAGTTTCTCGTATTTGGCCCCCCGGTTCCGGGTCGCGCCCCTACCCTACCCTCCTGCATCTGGAAACCATCACCGTCCACGAAAGCGACACCGACACCCGCGCCCAAGCCTCGGGTTTCAGAGACCGCCAAGTTGGGTCAGGTGACAGCGCAACATCCCGCCCCATCGAGGCTGTCCCCCGCTAGGCCCAGCGCGGGGAGAGGGACGCGAGGTGGCGGGGCCAAAGGCCGGGTGCCTGGGTGGGGGCTGTCCGTTGCCCCAGCCTCCAGTCGGTGCGTCCCCGCAGTGGCCTCGGACCCTCCACGCCCCTCCGGACCAGGCTCACGTTGCAGGAAACGCGACACTGCGGGATTTGTTTTCTGGGCCAGCCCGCCCCCTCCGCGCCCCCTGCAGCTCTGAGGCTCGGATGCAGCGACCCTGCTCCCGCCCACGGTCAGGCACCCGCGCAGGGGGCGCAGCCAGTGCACAAAAGGCCCTTTGTGGATCAGCCCAGTGCCTGCCGCCCTGCACGCACACACTAGGGAGGGGCGCGTGGACCTCGCAGTCCTAGGTTTGGACTCAGGGGTGGAGAGAGGGCGCTGGCCAGGCCACCTGTCTTGTGGCTTTGGGTAGGGCTTACAGGTCAGGCTGGGAAAGTCGACTATCCCAGGCCCTCTGTAGCCCTATGTGCCCTTGCCCTGCCCCCCTCTGGCTCCTGGAGATGAAAGGGGAACCCACAGCAAGAGCTTGGGTTGAGATGGTAGGAAGGGGGTGTTGGTGGGAGTCTATGGAGGCTCAGTGTCCCTCCTAAGCCTCTCCTGCCCAGTGGCCTTGTGACCTGAGTCACTGTGCACACTCAGCTCCTTGGCTGTGGGTAGCTTGCCTTGGGGGCTTGAGAGACAGCTGAAAGGTCTCAACTCCCATTAGGACCCACACCAGGCCACCTGTAGCCTCAACCTGTCCCCTCAGCTCTCAGACCAGTCTTGCTCTGTTCCTTTGGCCAGTATGCTGCAAGTCCTCAGAGAAAAACAATTCCATCTTAAAGCCATTTTCCGTGGGGAGCACATAAAGCTAAACTGCCATGTCTTAGCGTGGGATACTGCACCCCTACACCTCCCTGCCCTGGACTCCCAAGGTGGCACAGACCAGAGCACTGCCTCTCCCCTGCCCTAGAGCCTCAACCAGGAGCCTGCAGGCCTTGGATGACTCTGGGCACCTCACGCTGGTGCCAGCACTTGCCTCCTCTCCTCCTCAAAGCTTGCTCCCCCCAGGGCTCGCCTCGGGTCTGCCCCCTCTAAGAGTTCCTGCCCTACACTAAGCCAGCACCACCTCCTCCCCTAGCCCCTACTGCCAGTGGTACCAAGTCCTGCTAGTACTTTCACCCTCCACAGCTGTGCCACAGCACCTCCCACCTGGAAGACACCTTTCTCGGGTGCCACTCTTCACTCAAGCCCAGGGCAGAGTGGGTATATTCATGCTTGTGGAAGGGCAGTTAACACCTATTTTCTGTCAACCCTGTGTCAACCCTGCCACTTTGTGCAAGAGGTGGCATAGACCCAGCTCCTGGTGAGGCACAGCTGTCTTGGTATATATCTCTTCACCCACCCTCAGCTCCCAACCAAAGGCAGTGACTTTGTCTTACTTACCTCCCAGGCCCAGGGTCCAGCCCTGTGCCCCTTGGGACTGGCTGGGAGCCATGGGCCCAGGGACCCCACCCTGTGCCCACGTGGGAGGCTAGTCCTCTGGTCTCACCTGCCCCCAATCAGCCCAGTTCCACTTCTGGGAGGCAGGCAGGGGCTGTGGCCTCACTACCTCCTTCTTGGAGGCTTTGGTGTCCACATGGCGGAGTTTGTTCTTGGTCTGCATGTAGATATTAGTTGCATGTAGCCCCACGGGGGGCTTGGGAGCTGGGTAGCCTGGAGGGGGTGGGGGCAGTTTGGTGCCTGGAGGAGGTGGTGGCGGAGGGAAGCTGGGTGGTGGTGGTGGTGGTGGTGTAGGTCTCCCCTTCTTTTCCTGAGGCAGGCTCAGCTCAGGGTTCAGCATGTCCATGTAGCTCTGTATGTCTGCAGCTCTTGTGCCAGGAAGCCCTGGGGAGGTGAGAGGCAAGGCTAAGTGTGGGAGTTTGTAGTGAGGCTGTCCCCCTGCACTGATCTCCACTACCTGGAAACAACTTGGTGGCAGGGTAGGGTGGGCTCAGGGGCCAAACCTGGTGCACCTACTGTGGCCCTGGCAGTGCTGGCCATTTCTTCCCCCTGGATTTGTTCACCCCAAGCCCTGCACTTTCTAGGGGAAAACCAGGAGGTCAGGTTTAGAGGGAAAGTACAGGGGCTTTGGGCTCCAGGTGTGTCTAGAGAGCAGAGGGGAGGGGGCAGCTCCTTAGGGTAAATCTGGCAGGACAGGTGGTAGGAGGATGACTGGCCACACCCGATCTCTGCAAGGCAACCTTGCCAGCTCTGCAGGCCACCACCTGGTGGTGTGAAGCAGACATTGCTGGTGGCCAGACACCCATGCTCAGGGTGTGGTCAGTGTGTGTGTACATGCATACTTGGCTTCCGTCTCGGTGAACTAGTCCTTGTGCTGATGAGCATGTGTGCCTTGGTCTGCAGACATGGTGTGTGTGTGCACATCTGCAGTATGGAAATGGAACTTTGTGTGCCTGTGTTGACATATCTGCATGGCTCTATGTGTGTTGATATATCTGCATGGCCCTGTGTACACATGCAGAGCGTTCATGTCTGTTTGTCGTGTGAACACACAGACAAGAGTATGATTTTGAGCATGGAAGCTGAGAACTATGAATTGTGGACAGAGTTCATGTGGGCTTTGGAGGGCCTATGTGTGGATGTGCATGTAAATTTGTGATGAGCACACACCTGTCTCTCACCAGAAGGAGTGTTCCCTCCCAGCATTTAAGACAGTAAGAGATGTGGGCAGCCTCCAGGCTCAGGGCCCAGTGGTCTGGGTGTGGTCCTCTCCTCCTCCCCCTTCTGAGCTGGGCCCACTCACCATGTGGAAGGTGCTGGTCCTTGACACTTGAGTGGCTGGACGAGCAGGAATCATAGTTGGAGAGGGTGCTGGTGGGCGAGCTGAGGTCAAAGTTTGGTGGCTGGACGGACACGGTAGTGTTGGGTGAGGACATGCCTGAGTCTGGCTGCTTGGCCTCCAGCTCAGCAGATGGATCCCGGGACAGCACGCGGTGCTCCACGCTCTGGGGGGAAGGCAGCAGATCATGAAGCGAGCCCACCCCGAAGATCCACTGCTCTCTAGGCAGAGTCCTGCTCAGGCATATCCTCTCTGGGGGACCTCAGTCAAGTCACTTCACTCTCTGGACTGCTCTCACTATCACTAGAGGGTCTCTCAGGCTCTTCCCAGGCTGAGATTCAAGTCTAGCCTCCAGGGTGGCAGGACCACGGCTCCTAGGAAACTCCCTCCCTAGCTCCTCCCTGCTCATGAGGGTGGAAGGACTGTCTCAGGGAAGGTGCTCTGGGCTATACCCCTAAGGAACAACTGCCAGGGGACCAGCCTTCTCAATTCTGTCACTGGCAGAGGGCATAGGCTCCAGTGCATCTGTGGGGAGGGGTACAACAAAGGCCTTCCCTCATCAACTGGCTGGCAACCCCTGCTTCTCCTTATCCTCCCATCTCCAGCCTGACCACTCTACTGATGGGGAAGGGTGGGGCCTGGGGTGGCCCTGCTAAGCTGGAATGGGCACCCAAGACTGCCACCCCTCCCATGCCGCCGACCACAGGCCTGTCCTCTCCTGGCGTAGGGGCAGGTTGGGGTGGGGGCCTTGCTTACGTTGCCCATGTTGTCCCTGCGTCCGGCAAGCTTGCTTGCTCCACTGCTTCCTGCCCAGGCTGCTCCTTCCTGCCCCATGCCCCCTCCCTGCCTAAGAAGTGTCACAGGCCCCCTGGGAGAGAGAGGCAGGCCTGGTACCAAGTAACGGCTCAGCAGCAACGCTCATTGGCCCTGTAATTAGGGGCTCTGTGGGAGTGTTTGCCTTTTCTGGGCCAGCATCTTCCATGGCTTGGATCTGTCACTGCTGCAGTGGGCCTGCCAGTGTAGGGGCGCCAGGGATCCAATGCCCCACCGCATTCAGGGGGGCTAGGGGAGCTAGCCTCCTCCATGAGTCAAGGGGGAGCCACAGGAGATGAGTTGGGGAACAGCCTGAAGGTGCTTTTTTCTTGGCTGACAGTAGTGGGCACTGAGGACAACTTGCCCTGACCTGGTGGGTGGCAGATAACAGAGGTTAGAATGCAGGCTCTACAGCAGCTGTTCTCAACCTGTGAGTTGAGACCCACAGGATCTGTATGAAAGGGCCGCAGCATTAGGAAGGTTGAGAACCACTGCTCAGATTTCCCTTCTCCACTTACTGGCTGTGCGACCTTGGGCAAGTTACCTACCCTTTCTGTGCCTGAGTTTCTTTATCTGCAAGTGGGGATAATAGTACTATCTGCCCCACTGGGTTGCAAAACAATTTAAAAAGTTAGAGAAGTGCCAGAGCATAGTCCTCAGTAAGTACTATTTTTATTAATGAGAGTCCTGGGTGCTGGTGACCCCCAACACACACACTCACACAATCCTACAACAGAGTCACAGACACTCTCAGCTGGAAGGATCCCATATTTGGTGCAGAAATGCCCTTGCCAGTGTTCACCCCTGCTTGTATACCCCAGTGATGGTATGTTCACTGCCTTACTGGGCCACCCACTCTCTTTGGGAGATCTTTCTGGGGGTGCACCTTGCTGTATTCCACAGCCCCTGGAACCATAGACAGTCCTCCAGGCAGGGGTCATCGCCTTCTCTCTACTAGGCCTAATTTTACAGCCCTCTCAATGCCAGCCTGTACCCTGGAGCTAGTTAATGTTCTTCTAAAGGCACCTGTGAGGCCCACCCTCTGTCTTCCCCACTGCCCCAAAGCAGGCATTGTACCAGATGGGGAAGACCCCTGGACTGGGGGAAACCCATGCCTGAGTCCAAGTCCCAGTGGGTCACTGCATGCCTATCTAACCATAATAAATAATTTGATCGATTGATTGACTGATTTTGAGACAGAGCCTCACTATGTTGTCTTCGATAGAGTGTTATGGCATCACAGCTCACAGCAACCTCAAACTCTCAGGCTTAAGCAATTCTCTTGCCTCAGTCTCCCAAGTAGCTGGGACTACTGATGCCAGCCACAATGCCTGGCTATTTTTTTTGTTGCAGTTGTCATTGTTTAGCAGGCCCCAGCTGGATTCAAACCCACCAGCCTCGGTGTATGTGGCCAGTGCCCTAACCACTAAGCTACAGGCACCAAGCCATGCCCAGCTATTTTTTAGAGATGGGGTTTCACTCTGGCTCAGGCTGGTCTCAAACTTGTGAGCTCAGGCAATCCTCCTGCCTCAGCCTCCCAGAGTGCTGGGCCACCACTCCTGGCCAATAATAAATAATGTTAAAAGAGTAACAGGCTTCCAGTGACAAGTAGCTAACAGTGACAGGCCTCCAGTGACAAGTAGCTATGAAGTGGGCAAACACAGAAGTGCAGTAAACAAGAGAGGTGGCCCCTGGCCAGGACATCCAGAGCAGATCCTGGTTCTACCACTTGCTGGCAGTGTAACCTTGGTGTCTCAGAGGCTCAGTTTACGCATCTGTGGAATGGGACACTAACATCCCTTCCCTCAGAGGGTGGCAATGGGAATCACACATGACCTGAGCAGGGGGTGGGTGCGTTTATCTAGCTGCTCCCTAGCACGTGTCCTGTGCCTTGTCCAGCCCTCGGGCTTAGTGATTCTGGCCTTTCCTCTCCCTTCCCTTTAACTTTTTGCCTCTACTCCGTGACTCCCCAGTGGGCAGTGGCTTTGGGCTGAGAGGTCGTGTTGTATAGTGGTCACAGGCCTCCACTGAGGGGTTTCACATCCCTGAACCTCACCTTTCTTGGTGAAAGAGGTAATGACATCTACCACCCCGGGATGGGGCGAAAAGAGAGAACGCGACTGGGACGGCGCGCGTCGTACCAGGTTCTCCACGGTGCGCAGGTAGCGGGTGCAATGGCCATGGCCGTTGAAGTCCGACAGGTCGGCGGCCGTGTACCCGTCGCGGTCGCGGACGTCCAGCTCTGCACCGTTCACTACCAGGATCTGGCAGCACTGCGGGGGCACGCAGTGAGGACGCCATGTGGCTGCGAGCCAGGACACCCACGCCCCGGCAGGGCTGCGCCGAGAGCACACGGACGGCGACCGCGCCCGCCCCTCCCAGGTCCCGCCCTGACCTCCAGCTCCCCGTTCTCGGCGGCGTCGTGCAGCGGGGTCCCGCCCCACAGGTCTGTGGAGATCTCGCCGCCGTGCAGCAGGAGCCAGCTGAGCACTTTGGTGTGACCACGGCTCGCCGCGAAGTGCATAGCTGTGGCGCCGTCTTTGTCCTGCTCCGACAGGCTCACGTCGGTGCAGCTCACCTGGGAGGCAGAGGAGTGGGAGGAGCGAGGGCTGGGCGCCAGGGCCCGTCTGGCCCCACCCCCGCCCCGCCCCCCACCCGGGCCGCCAACCTGCCCGGGCCCAGAGCTCACCAGCCACGCGATGACCGAGCTGTGACCCATTTGTGCCGCCGCGTGCAGCGGGGTCATGCCGTCGTGGGCGCGCGCGTGCGGGTCCGCGCCGCACTCCTGCACCAGGTACTGCGTCACCTCCAGGTGGCCCTCTTGGCACGCCAGGTACAGGGGCGTGGCACCGTTCTTGGTTTGAGCATTCACTCCCCTGCGGAGACGCAGTGTCACCCTCCGTGGGCTCTCAGCGCCTAAGCCCCTCTGAGGCTTCCTCCCACCCCCTGATCCCTTCTGAGGGGAGCTCCGGAGGGCTGGGAGAGTCGGTTGGAGAGGGCCTCCTTTCCCTTATGCAGCCCCAGCGCTTCCTTGCCTTCAGTAGCCAGTCCAGGCTTTTCGCCCAGGTCTATAAGGACGTGGTGACCTGACCTCTCCATACCTCCTCAGCCACACTCACCCACTGTCACAGAAACCCCCTACATTTGCTGTGTCTCACCTCTATGCCACCGGTCATCTCCTTCCTCCATCTGGGCTGCTCTTCCACCCTCTGCAGGATCCTTCCTCCATGGGGCCTGCCCCAATTTCCAGTCAAGAGCAGGCCTCGCCTGCCTCTGTGCCCCAGGCTTCCCTGGCCCTTTCCTGGGGGGCGGGGGGACCTGTCATGCTTGATTGCTGATAACTGATTAGGGACTTGCCTCCCCCAGAAGACTAAGTTCCCAGAGGGCAGAGTGGTAGAGTTCCCAGGTGAAATATGGGATGCCCCATTAAACTGGAGTTTCAGGTAAACAGCAAATAATGTTTTAGTATTTGCCAAATATTGCATGGGACAGACTTGGACCAAAATATTGTTTTTCCTGGGCTTTGTCGTTGTTGCTGTTCTCATCAATCTGGCAACCCTAAGGGAAGTCCACCATTCACCAAGCACTTCCCCCACTTAGCTCTGGGTTGTGGCACTAGCAGGCGGGTTCTTCTTTTTTTTTTTGGAGACAGAGTCTCACTTTATCGCCCTCATAGAGTGCCATAGCGTCATAGCTCATAGCAACCTCAAACTCTTGGGTTCAAGTGATCCTCTTGTCTCAGCCTCCCAAGGCCACAATGCCTAGCTATTTTTAGAGGCAGAGTCTCACTCTGGCTCAGGCTGGTCTTGAACTCATAAGCTTAGGCAATCCACCTGCCTAAGCCTCCCAGAGTGCTAGAATTACAGGTGTGAGCCACCTTGCCCAGCCCAGCGGTTTCTTTGCGAGTCCTATTGTCATTCCCATTTTGCAGAGGGCCAGCAGAGAGTAGAGCCATGAATTACCAGGAGTCACACAGCTGGTAAGTGGCATCTGAACACACTGCTGTCTGTCTGAAGCAGGGCCTGGCCTGCAGTAGGTATGCAAGGAATGAAGAGATGGAGGTGCCCCAAGGGCTTCTCCTAGGGTCTAGTTTATGGCTGTCAGTGCCCCTCATCCTTGCTCCTCTAGCCCAGAGGCGGCCCAGCTGAGAAACAGGAAGGCTGGCCTGGCCACTAGGCTGCCCTGTGTGGACCAGCCCAGGGTGTAGTTGCCACAGCAAGGCACTAGGTGGAGCCTCTCCCCTCTCAGGGAGCTCCAGCTGGGGCTGCATCCTAGGAAGCTCCTATTCTGGGACTTCACATCTTCCCCCCATCTATCCAGCCACATCAGTCACATGCCCCAGTCCTCACCACTCACTCATCAGTTTCCTCTTGTCTATCCATCCACATGTGCACCAAGCCACCCCTACCATCTGCCGTTCAGTCACCCTGGACTTGAATGTGATTTGGTCCCATCCTACCCCCCCAACCCCTGACCTAGTAAGTGTACCCTCCCCCTTACACACACACCCTGGGACCTTCCCACCTGACATCTCCCTGTCCCTAAAGCCTTGGTTCTCCGTCCTGATCCCTGAGCCCCCAAGGCTGTCTGCAGCTCCCATCAGACCACCACTCCCTGATCTCTCCTTCCTCCTCATAAACCGGCCTCCCACACACACATACAGGACTGCCATGTGCTGGTCTCATGCTCAGCCTGGCCTTTCAGGAGTGTGGGGGGAGCAGGCCCATGCTGGCATGTCTCCATAAGTGTCAAGAGCAGCAGGACCCAGCCCTACACCTCTCCTCAGAAACACACTGGCTAGGAGCCACTGCCTCCATGCCCCAGTGCCGGCGGCGCCCCCACACGCACTCACATGCTGGTGCGTCAGAAACAGGCTGTTTAATATTTCATGACCGACACTCAGCAGCCTGAATTATTCACCCTGTAACCAAGGCACAGTGAGTGCTGGGGTCCTGGAGATCAGAGGCTGGAGGGGGCCCACTGGATTCTCTGGGGGGCCCAAGGCAGTGTGCACCATCAAGGGGACACAACCTGTGGCGAGCCCTATCCTCCTAGCACCCCTGGTTTGGCAGGTGTCCACGAGCCAGGGGCACCAGCCAGCCCAAGGAGATCTGAGCAGTAGCGGGCAGTGGTACCCACTGCCTCCTGGTAGAGCTCTTGGCACAGATGGGCACTCAACAGATGTCACCATTATTATCAGAATTTCAGCCTCCTCTCATGACCCCTGTTCTGGAGTCAGAGGCTCCAGCCTGGAAGGCCCCAGGACACAGGGCAGATATACTGATGAGGCCGGGCCAGCTTCATAATCTCCTCCACCTTGGCCTGGAGGCAACTAGAAAGATGGGCACCCTCACACTCGCTGGGGAAAATTACGAGAAGCATAGGAAACAAGATAAAATTCCCATCACTGAAGAAATGAGTTAACAACAGTAGGAATAAAAATAATTAATAACTGCTGCATCCACACCCCTCCGGCTGTTGTCCTGTCTGTCGCCTGCCTCCCTCCCTCCCCCTGCCTGGATGGACCACTGCCCTTCCTTGAGACCTTACTGCTGGGAACTCGGATGCTTGGTCATCGAGCTGGGGCATAGCCAGGGAGCTGCCCTGGTTCTGATGTAAGGAGGGCATGGGGGTGAGTGCCACACTCCCACCCTGCCTTGCAGCCTCACTTGTCTCTTTGCATTCCCAAGCCCATCCATGAAGTGGTGGTACTGATCATGCTGGCCTTGTAGGGAGGCTCCAAGACATGCTTGCAGGGCCCTGAGCAGGGCCTGGTGCTCAGCATGCCCCTGGGAATGGGAGCCTCATACTTCAGGGTTCCTCTTCCTTGGGCCTGGGAGGAGTAGCCACCGGGGGGTCCACTGCTGGCCTGGGATGTCCAGGCCCCTTAAGCACAGGCTAGGCCAGGAATCATTTCTGCTATGTAGGGACACTGCCTAGAGTGGAAAGGAGGGGTGTCTGGTGAGACCTCTGACCTCCAAACCCCTGCCAGCTCTAGCCCATCCTTTTCCAGCTTTGACCACAGCCACAGGAAGACATTCCAGGACCAAGCCCCTATGTCTTGTCCTACCCTCACTCTGAACTTACTGAGCAGGACCCCAGTGAGTGCTTTATCTTCCCAAGCTTCAGTTTTCTCATATGGTAAACGGGCGTCATAGTGTCTAGCCACATTTGAGCAAGCTTTAGCCAGGGTATCTTCCCAGGGACAGGAGGCCTTGGCTTCCCCGAGCTGCTGCCACATCCTGATCCACCATCCCTAACTCCCACATCCCTTCTACCCCATCACTTGCACGTTCCCAGCCCAGTGGTTTCCTCCATCCTCAATCAACCCCAGCAGGTGCCCTCGCCTCTCACCTAAACACCTGCTCCGGCGACCCCTTGGGCATGCACACACTGACGTCTACCTGAACACCAGCCAGGCCTTCTCACCTTCCTTTGCTGGGCCCTTGGTCCTCACCCAACCACAAAATATCCTTTCTTTCTTTTTTTAATTTTTTTGCCATTTTTGGCTGGGGCTGAGTTTGAACCCGCCACCTCCGGCATATAGGACCAGCGCCCTACCCTTTTGAGCTTCAGGCGCCACCCCAAAATGTCCTTTCTAAGGGACTCTCTCTGATGGGGTCATCTATTTCCCAGGGTCCAAGGCCAACTCTTTACTCAAAGCTGCTCATCTCCCCAGGTTGGACCTGGACTCACCATCGGGCCCCTACATCAGATTGCTCATCCACATGTACACTGAACAGGCCTCTAAAACTTTCCCTGCCCCAAGCAGCTGTCTTCATTTTTCTCCACTCCCCCCACCCCCCATCTCAGTAAAGGACAGTATACCACCTCCTTGAGCCCAAACTCCAAGGGTCTTAGAAGACCCTTGATCCTGGGCGGTGCCTGTGGCTCAGTAGGTAGGGCACTGGCCCCATATACCAAGGGTGGCGGGTTCGAACCCAGCCCTGGCCAAACTGCAACAAAAAGTAGCTGGGTGTTGTGGCAGATGCCTGTAGTCCCAGCTACTCGGGAGGCTGAGGCAAGAGAATCGCCTAAGCCCAGGAGTTGGAGGTTGCTGTGAGCTGTGATGCCACAGCCCTCTACCAAGGGTGATAAAGTGAGACTGTGTCTCAAAAAAAAAAAAAAAACAGAAAAAAACAAAAAAATGAAGACCCTTGACCAGCCCTCATTATAGAGTACAGCCTCCCCAGAGATGATCATATGTATAAATTATGACCTTTTTTTCTCTCTTACGAAACAAAGCTGATACAGATGAACTATAGCTACTATAGATCTCCATCCAGGACTGGGGCCCACTTACTGTAAACATGCCACAAGGAACAAGGAGTGATCTGCCCATGGAATCAGACTCAGGTTGACAACTACATTTCTCGTGACCTTCCCTGCTGCCAATAATTTCTGTCCCAAGGGAGGTCAGAAGGAAGCCGATACTTCAGGGATCAGATCCAGCTGTGGCCCCAAACTGCTCTGAACCGGAAGTCACGGAGCCTTTGATGGCTCTGAGGCTCTCCGTGTCCTCCAATCATGCCTCCTGGCTTATGTTAAAAGATCCTAAAGTCGGCCCTTCCCTAGAGCCAGGGAAGAAACGCAGGCCTGATTTAAGGAAAGTTCTAGAACAGTCTGCTTATACTCCATCAGCAAGCCTGAAATATTTCCAGAAGTCTACACTTGCCGACAACTCTCCCGACCTTCCAGGGCTTCCCTAGGATTACCAGATTTGACCCTACCCAGGCCTCTGCACCTGCCAGCACTGCCACCAAGTCTGTCATGGCAGGGCTACCTGACTGACCCTATTTTCACTAGGCTGTTAGTTCCCACCTCCTCAAAGGGCCCTGCCTTCCCCAACTCCCTCAACTCAAAGATCAAAGCATGCTATTTCATCATAGTGCTGTCATTCCTGAATTACCTGGTTATTTTATTTCATTCCTACCATGGACATAGGCTACAAGGCTAGGACAGGCAGAACAGTGGAAAGGGCAGAGCCCCTACACTCTCAGAGCAGCAAACCCACATGCTTGTGAATGGAAGAATGCGTATCTGAGCGGGGCATGTCATGTCCCTAGTCCCTAGTACTGCCAGGCTGTTTGTCGAATGAATAAATATGTGTCTGAGAAGACACAGCCTGCCCAGGAATAGGTGAGGCCTTGTCACACATGGCCTTGGCCTAGACGGGTACAGAGGGCCCCAGAAAGGGAGTTTTGTTTGAAGTCACACGCTGTGAGAGTGTGGGTGAGACCCGGGGATGGGGATTCCATGCTCCTCATCTGTTCAAGAGATGATTATTATACTGAGCGGGGAAGATACAGTCCAGGGTGGATCCATCAGGGAGTCAGAAGGGCAGAAAGTGGGAAGGATGTGACCAGGATGTGGAGCAATGACCAGGGCCATGGGAACAAAGCAGGCAGAGGAGTGGGGAGTGGGGGTGAGGGGGTGGGGGCTGGCCTTGAGCAAAGACATGAAGGCAGGGAGAGGACTCCATGGACGAGGTCCAGCAGAGGGAAGGCCTGGCCTGCAGGAGGAGCCTGGAAGGGGTCAAGGAGGAGGAGTAAGCTCTTGGGGAAGGGGAGCACCTGAAGGTGGGGTGGGGGCCAGAGCCAGAAGGGAGGGCAACTGGGCCACGTACAGAAGTGGCCACCCTACGGACAGGCCAATGGTCTGATTTGCATTTTCAAAGGCTGCGGGCACAGCTGGATGGGTAAAGGTTGGAGTTGAGGTAGGAGGACCAAAGTGGGGGTGCATTAGCCCTAGCTAGGTGACAGCTGAGACTGGGAGCTACTAGTAGAAACACAGCCTGGTGGAGGTGGCCCCTCTCCCTCTGAGAGGGGCTTCTCTGGACTCCACCATGGCCCTCTTTTCCGGGCACCTCCACCTAGGTCAGGGTATAAGGCCCATTGCCACCTTTCTAGTATGGATGTCCCCAGGTCCTGCTGCCCATGAGACTGAGGAACACCAATTAAGAAGGAATAAGCCCCCACTGCCTGTGGCAGAAACAGGTGCCCAGCAGGAAAGGGGCAGCTCCAGGCCCGGGCAGAGCCTCAGCCTTGTAAGGGAGAGCTAAGCCATGGGCCCTGGGGCTCCCCAAGAACTCCTTCTGCCCAGGTGGGGACAGCCTGAACCCCTAAGACTCAGGTGGGCTGTAGAATTAGCCAGACTCCATGAAGCTTTTTGATAAAGAAGGAAAAAGGGAAAGTCTTCAGTGAAAGACTTGAAAGGCCTTGAGAGATTAGGGCCCGGACCAGGAGTGAGAGACAGACCCAGAGATGGGATACAATTTGCCCAAGGCCACACAGCAAACTGGCGGTGACCACAGCCAGTCAATCAGCCGCTCTGAAACATCATTTCTCTACCTGTCAGTTCCAAGAGTTAGGGACATTTGTCTGGTTTGTCAATATATCCCCATACTTAGAACAGTGGTTCTCAACCTGTGGGTCGCGACCCACAGGAACTGTATTAAAGGGCCACAGCATTAGGAAGGTTGAGAACCACTGACTTAGAATACTGTCTAGCTCTTAGCAGATGCTTGATGGATCAATCTGGAAAATGGGCTGATGATAGCTAGGGCCAATGCTGAGGTAGTTGGCAGCTCAGATGAATCCGGCTAGTGCCAGGCCCTTGGCAGGCCCTCAGTGAGTGGGGGCTGTTATGGGTTTAGCCTGAGGCCTGAACCAGGTGCTTTCCAATCCCAGATGGTCTGGTCTGGTCAGGGACTGGGGGAAGCCTTAGGGGGAGGAGGCCCTTACAGGGAGCTAGAATTGAAAATCTTGGGCCAACTGGTTTTCCAGCTTGCTCTGGCTGGCAGGGCCCACAAACCCCAGCGTAGAGCCTGGAGCCACTGACCCACCCCACCTGGAAGCTCAGGCCTCAGGTCCCAGCTGTTCCCAGGCTTCCCACCTGCTCAGGCCCCCAGGCAGCCAGAGCAGGAGGTGGCTCCTGGGCCCCAGGACCTGCTGGAGGGTAGCCACCTGCTCCTCACCCTGTCTCAGTCTGCCCCAACCAGGGGTCTGTTCCCTCCACCAGCCCCTGGAGCTCCGCCCAGGAGGGCCAGCCCTCCTGCCTCTAGACCCCTCAGACCCAGGCCTGGGTCAGCTCAGCCCAGCTTTCACGAATAGGGGCTCAGAGAGTGGGTCCCCACTAGGGTGGCAGCCCCTGAGGTCACTGTGGCAAGTCCCCTGCTTCTGGGAGGATTTGGCCCAGTGAACTGGGATAGATGGAGGGGGTGGGTGCAGGGTGTTTCCTACAGTCTGAAACCCTTCCTGACATCCCAAAGTGTAGCACTGGCATCAGTTGGGCCCTCCTCCAAAGCTGTCCAGGCTTCTGGCTCCTCCGGAGCTTGTTACTTCCATAGCCCATGGCCGCCCACAGCCTCCCTAGGTGAGATCGAGTTTCCCCACTGGTAGGTATGGGAGCCCTTCCACCCTGGCTAGCTCACCCACCCCTAGAGAGAGTGCTGAGCCTTGTGAATAATTCACAGCGATTCACAGCAGGCCAGGAGGCTGGGCCAGAGTGTCAGGAGCTGGGCCACCTGGGTCCTCTAGTCAGCACTAGAACCTGGGGCAGCCCAAGCCTCTGGCCTCCCCAGCTCTGAGTCCTGGTATCCAATGTGTTGGGGAGCTGAAGTCTGCACCCCCAAGGAAGGAGGCTAAGTGAGCAGTACCAACTCCAAGCCCAATTCCTGGCTACCCCCTCCTGCCTGAGCCTGGCCTGGCAGCCACACAAAGGCACTTTCTTATCAGCCAAGTCACAGGCCTTCACAGGGAATGGAGCCCAAGCACTCTGTCTACCTCCCTGAGATTCATGGTGACCCCTGGGGGGCTGGCGGCTCATCAGTTCAGGCCATCTGGCTGCTGGGTTGGCACCAGGGCCCAATCACGCCCAGCACCTGGCACGGCCTGTGAGAGGGTCAAGGTCCCCAGGCCTGGAGCCTGTGAGGATGTTCCACCAGCACAGCCAGAGTCTTCTTAGAGCCTGAGATCCAACCCCATGGGGGGATCGCAGCTCATTAATGCCCAGCTATGGGTAAGGAGTCTCCAGGGAGACTCAGAGCCTTCTAGTTGACACTTTTGGGCCCCACTGACCCCACCATCCGCCTGGCCTTCTGGACCTGTCCGTCCCCTCTAAGAGTCCACTGCTGGAAGTGATGGGGGGGGTGGGGTAGATGCATCAAAATCACTGCTGTGAGGCCCCAACCTGGAGAGGCCAACACAGGAGTCTGGGACAAAGCTTCCCATGGTGCTGACAGGTACCAGACGAAAACCTACACTCAGGCTCGGAGCCTATAGCTCAAGTGGTTAAGGTACCAGCCACATATACCAGAACTGGTGGGTTCGAATCCAGCCTGGGCCTGCCAAACAACAATGATAACTACAACCAAAAAAAAAAATAGCCGGGTGGTGTGGCAGACGCCTATAGTCCCAGCTACTTGGGAGACTGAGGCATGAGAATCACTTAAGCCTAGGAGTTGGAGGTTGCTGTGAGCTGCAATGCCATGGCACTCTACCCAGGGTCACAGCTTGAGGCTCTGTCTCAACAAAAAAAAAAAAAAAAGAAAGAAAGAAAGAAAGAAAGAAAACCTACACTCAAGGGTCTCCAGGGCCCTCCTACTCTAAATCCCACTGGCTTTGACATGAACCAAACCCAGGCTTGTTCAGAAGTACAGAATTGACACCAAAGTGGCCAAGTGGCCCTGGCAGGGCTGACTGTGAAGAACATAACACCCAGCCAGACCGGCTAGGTCTCCCGCTGGCCAGTCTGGGAGCCCCTTCTTAGCAAGGAGGGAACCCAGCTCTACCTACCTGTCCTGGGCTGAGAGGACAATGCAGCCCGGCCTGGTGGGTCCTAGGGGGCATCCTACATCCATGAGAATGTGCCTGGGCCTAAGAAGCTGCAGCTGCAGCCACCTTGACACATGGCTATGTGGCTGGACTGGCCTCCAGCCTGCTCCCTGGTGGCCAGTAGCCCTGCAGGTGCCCTCAGGAATGACCCAGCAGTGAAGACAGGTCAGACCCCTACCTTGTGGTTGCTCCCCTCCTGAGGCTTATGTCCTGGGCTCCCATTCCAACTGACAAAGGTCACCCACTCAGGTTTCCACAGCCACTAGCATTCTGTTCCCTGAGACGGGGCCTGTGCGGCCTTCCCCCAGGACCCCTACCTCCCCTACACCTAAAACCTGGCTCCCCTCTGCCTTCTGACTCCTTTATGTCCCCCATGCTGCAGGAGCGCCACCCTTCTGCATGCCCTCCTTTGGGAGCTCCCAGCCCACACCCTGGCAGGTTTGGAAGCTCTATCCTCCCCTTGGTAGGCCGAGTAGGCTGGGGGGGCCACAGGAAATGACAAACTGCTCTCCAGATGGCCTGTAGCCAGCTGGCTCTAGGGCTAGGAGGTGGGTGGGCCTCTGGGAGAGGCAGCTGTCCTTTAGGAGAGGCAGCTCCTCTCCCACCTGCCTAACTAGGGTTTAGGAGGGGCCAGTCCCTCGTCCATACCCCACCCCACCCCCACCCCTGCCACAATTTAGGACAGTCTTGCACATGAGCATAAGCCTGAGCTAGAGAGAACCACCTGCTGCAGACAGGCATGCAGAGGGGAGCAAGTGGCCTCAGCTGCATGGGATCAGGCTTTGGAGGATTTGAAGAGCACCTGTGTACAGAGCTCTGGGGCAAGTGGCTGTGGGCAGCCCCTGAGGAGGTTGCCAGGAGGGGAGAAATTTCAGCTCAGGTAGGAGCTGCCTCTCTGTTCTGGCCCTCTGGCCACCAGGATGGTCCCTGGAGGGATCCCTCCTTGGCACACTGGAGAGGTGTGGCAGATCCTGGGCACCTCTGGGGCCCTGGCCTGCCCCATGCAGGCCCGCTTAGGGGGGTGTTCTTACTCAGGGTAGTGCCTGATGAGAACCCTCAGGGAGGGGAAGTCTCCTTTGGCGGCGGCATAGTGGAGAGGCAGGGCACCCATGTCTGTGGCCATGGTGGGGTCCCCATTGCCATGACGCAGCAGCCAGTTCACCACCTCAGGGTGGCCGAAGCGGGCAGCCAGATGCAGGACTGTGGCACCAGAATTGTCTTTGTCCTGTGGGAGGAGAGCCAGTTGAAGTTCTGAAGCCATGACCTGCCTGTTCCTCTGGCTCACATCCCTCCCAGCCCCCTGCCAGGAGGTAGTTCTGTCCTCTCTGCCCTCCCTTGAGGGGGTAGCCAGGTCTCCTTTAGCAGTTTTTGTACCCATCCTGGAGCTTGGATCTGTTTCTGCCCTTGTGCAGCTAAGTGGCCCTCTCTGAAAGTCAGTCCATAAGCAGTGCCACCAAGCTTGCATGTCATTCTTGCAAAGTGCCTGCACACAGCACCCTTGTTGTCACAGCAGGAGGCTGGCTCTAGGCCTAGGGACCCAGCCCCTGACATCCAGAGCTCAGGGAACACCTGAATAAGTGAGGGAGAGTTGCTGGGAGCAGGGCCAGGAGAGGGGCGGTGAGGCTGCACCAGGCCAGCATTGGGACTGGGGGTACACCCCCACACCCAACACTTTCCCTTCCCTGTCCCTCCTTCCCAGGTGTCAGTGGAAACAGAGGCCTCCACCTTGGTGCCCCTCCAACAACCCCTTAGTAGAAAACTGTCCCCCCCAGCAGACTCCCCTGCACCTGGCTATGGGAACACCTTGTGCTCTTGCTCCTGTGGAGGAGGAAGTTTCTAGGTACTAGTGGGCAGGACCCAGGGCAAGCAGCCAGTGGTGGAAAGTGTGGACTAATGGTAGCTCCTGGGAGGCGTGTGGTTGGGTGGGAAGTCTGGGCCCAGAACTGCTGGATGCATCCTCTGTGCACACCCAGTTGTGTGTGTCTGTGGGGAAGGGGCTGTGGGGGCTACCAGGGAACCTGGGCAGGTTGGACAATCACTGAGAAGCCAGGTGTCTGGACTGAGGCTGGCATGTCCAGCAGAGTGGGGACTGGGTCTAGAACAGAACAACCTCTCTCCAGCACGTGGGACAATGACGCAGGGGTAGGCAGGGGCAAGGGGCAGGGTTGGGGCTCAGGACAAGGTGGACCCAGGAGGCAAAGCTCCTCTGCCCTGTCTTGCCCAGAGAAGGGGCGCTGTGGGGGCAGATGTGGCAAAGACAGTGGAAACTGGCAAGAGACCTTGACACTGAGGAAGGCGAATCGTGGTGGAAGAGAACCTCTGAGACCCTGTGAGATGCAAGGAAAGAGGGATGGTGGGCAGTGCGCCCCAACTGGAAAGTCACCATTCTCCTGGGGCTGGGGGGAGGCACTCTGGCTGTCCTGAGGCAGGAAGGAGGATGGAGCAGAGAATAAATGGCCCACAGGAAGTTGAGGATTATGCTAAGGCCCCTCTTGTGTGCAGGAAAGCCCAGGAACTAGTTCCCTCTGCCCCAGAGCCCAGGGCATGAGGCTGGCTAGAGGTGACCAGAGTAGGACTGTGGTGAAGCATGTCTCAAGCCCCAGCTTTTGAGAAAGGCTGTCCTTTCCCATTGGCCTTGGGCACTGTGAGCCTGAGGCTCTGGGGGTCCTGATTGCTCCAGGCCTCTGGGTGGTGGTGGCAGTAAGGAGAGGCCATAGATCTATGGGCTCCAGCCTGTCCCTGAGGCACCAGCAGCTGTGTGGCCCTGAGGAGACTCATGCCACTGACCGCACCCTAAAGCTGCTTATCTTTCTGGGCTGGGCAGGCCGATGGATCCAGGTCATCTCCCCCCACTTCCACCCTCAGCACCCAAGTCTGCTTGGGCAGGAGGGCAGGAGACTTGATAAACTGGTCCCAAGGCCACTTGTTTCTTCCAGCTCCTCTGCAGTGGCAAGGGAGGCTTCCAACGAAGGCTGGACACAGGGATCAGGGAGGAGTGGGAGGCTCTGCTCAAGATCAGGGAGGCACGCCACCTCCCGAAAGAATTGGCATGGGCCATGTGGCCCGGAACCCCTGATAACAGGGCCCACTGAGAGATAAAGGCTCCTGTCTCCCAGAAAGGATCAGAAGGAACTTGCATCTGAGGGTGGCAATGGGCTGGGGCTGGCCATCATTTGGGGACAGCAAGCCAGCAACAGAGCTGCCTGCTTGCTGTTACCAGCAAAAGCAAGAGCTGCCCTTGCCTCCTCCCCTTCCAGCTCTAGTGAACTGGTGGTGGTCTTCCCAAGTGGAAAACCAGTTCCTGATTTCTTCTCTTGGCTGCCCCCACAACCAGAATATCTTCCAAATCCAGCTCAGCCTGGGAGACCTGAAGCCTGGCCCTGGTGGCTACTCTGAACATGCCTCCTTCCGGCTGTTCCTCCCACAGCACAAGAATGTGCGTGCCTCGGGGCTTTGCACTTCTTGTTCCTGGTGCTCAGAACTCTCTGTCATCTGGCTACCTTCTCACCAGCCTGGACACCCCTTGGAGGTCACCCTTCAGAGTGACCAGGTGAGGTCTGGGAGCAGAAAGACTCAGGCTGGAGAAGCAACTTAGAGCTTGGAACCCCAAAGGCCCTGATGTTCTGGGATCAGTTTAGGTCCTGAGGAGACCACCCTTACCATGGTCCACCACCCCTCCCCACACTCTGGGTTAGAGACGCTTGTAGCTCAGCTTGGGATGGGCTGTGGAACTTTGTCCAGTCTCCCTCCAGACCTGGTCTTGCAGGACGTGAGGCCCTTCCTGCCCCACCCACTCTCCAGGACTCTGCGGATCAGTGCTCTGCCTTTCCTGTAAGAGCCAAGATGCTGCGTCCAACTCCGTTCTGGTTTCCCACCACTCAGGAGCTCTTCCAAGAAGCAGGGCCTGCCAGGGCATCTGCCCAGGTACTCTCAATCCAGGGAGCCCACCTCACCCAAAGCCCTCTGGAAGGAACTCCGTGCAGGGCTCAGCTGGGCCAGGAGGTGACCAAACCAACCCCACCCACCATCTGGGCCACCAAGCAGGGCGCCCAACAAGTGACGCTACCCACCTGCGCTCTGCAGCCGCCCTTCAAGAGCAGCCACTGCAGGCAGGTGAGGTGGCCAGTGGCGGCTGCGTCGTGGGCAGGCGTGGCACCGTTGCGCGCGCGGGCGGTTGAGGGCAGGCCCACATCTTCCACAAGGAAACGCAGACAGTGCAGCTTGCCGGCGCGGGCCGCATGGTGCACCGGCAGAGCGTCCAGCGGGTCGCGCAGGGAAAGCTCCAGCAGGCCGGCGACGTGCAGGGACCTCAGCACATCCAGCTCGCCCTGTCGCGACGCCTGCAGAGCCTGCTCCAGGGCCATGGTGCCGCCCCCGGCGCCGACCCCGCACTCAGTGTGTCCCTCGGGACGCCATGCTCGAGTCGTCGGGGCTCAGAGGATCCTGCAGCGCGGCGGTCGGGGCTTTGCGACCCCGGGAGGCGGAGCGGCTGCGGGCCCGGCCTCTGCTCGGCGCTGTCCTTGGCTCCGCCGCGCTCTGAGGCTGGGACTTGCGGACGCCGGCTTAAGCCTCTGGCCCGCCCTCGCCCCGCCCCCTCGGCTGAGTCCCCAGCTCATCCCCGCCTTGTGGCGGGGACGTTCAGGTGACAGGGGCAGGTGTACTCATTGTCTCACGTAAAAACTGAGACTCCAGAGGGCGGCAAAACTGGGTTCGAATTCAGGAGCCGTCGGGCACAGGCGGACTCATTCCCCTGCAGTGGCCGCTATTTGCTGTTACAGGCGCTGGGGCCCAAACCAGCAAACCATTGCCGCAATTACAGAGGGCGACAAATGTTATCTGAACAGGAAAACGGGGTGCTAGGGAGTGAAGCAGTGGGCGGTCAGGGAAGGTCTATTCGAGGCGGGCAGGGCTGTGTTTTGAGTGGCGAGTGGTGGAGAGTGTGGCGTGTGCAGGCCCTGTGCCCTGCAGGGCCCCTCCGGACGCCCGGGGAGGGAGGTAGCGGGGGGAGGAGAGAACCCGGACGTTCCGGCGAGCTCGGAACTCTGAGTTTAGCGGTCGGAGAGTCCGACTCCAGTGCGGCTGTCGCGGGTAGAGGGACTCGACCACCGCTTTGAGGGCCTGAGGCTACCAAGCCAGCAGAAGAGACTGCAGGGGTGCGAGGCATGGGGCCAAATCCGCCTGCGGGCGCGGCCGAAACTAACCGTGGGAGCTGGAGGAGGCAGGGCTGGCCGGACACGAGGAAGAACTACCAGAAGGTGGGGGCTGCAGAACTGCGCGACACATCCGCGTGTATCGGACGACCTTGAAACAGCCTGTGCCCTTCTTTCCCCACCCCTCCACCCCGCTGGAGCCCCGTGAGAGTCCGGACCCGCCCCGGGACGAACCTGTCATCCAGGCCCTTGCCAGTCTGTGCTGGAAACGCTGTGGAATGAAGCCCCTTCCAGGAACTGGGGGATCCCGGGCGGTGGTCTCTGGGGCGGTCTCGGATGCCGTTCTCAGGACTGCCACCTGGTGGCGCCCTGCCCTGTGGCCTCCAGCACTCCCAGGTGTCCAGTAACCTGAGCCACCTGTGTCTTGCGTGGTCAGGTGAGTGTCCAACGACCTCCAAGACAGCCAGATCTGCCTGGCTTTTGGTGGGACCTGTGGCCACAGGGATCTCTGATCCCTGCCCATCGGTTTGCAGACAAAGGGAAGGAGGTGTCTTTTCCTGGTGGTGGCCAGAGCAACTAGCTTGCGGCTCATTGGAGCTGCCCTCTTCCAGCATACCCAGTGGCTGGTGCACCGTGCAGCCAGCAAGTGGCAGGATACTCCCCGGAGGAGGAGCTAAAATGGATTGTCTTGTGCTCTCTCACCATTGCTGACAGTGACATCGCCATAAAAACCAGATGTGAGCAACTCATCCTGCTGACCAACCTCTCTGAATCCTTTCAGAACATGACTCAAACTCAGGCGTGGAGCCAGACCCTTATTCCCAGGCCTCTGTGTTCTCTGTGGGCTCTCCCATGTCCACCAGGCCCACTGGGTCCTCCCTGGCAGCCCTAGAGAGCCCAGGTCCTGCTCTTAGCAGGCATGGGCCAAGCTTTCACCTGGAGGATGCTATCAGAGGTGGGACTACTATCCCTATTTTACAGCTGAGGAAAATGAGGCATGGGGAGTTTTTGTTTGTTTTTTAAATTATTTACTTATTTATTTATTTTAGAGAGACAGAGTCTCACTTTGTTGCCTTTGGTAGAGTGTCAAAGCTCATAGCAAACTCCAGCTCCTGGGCTTAGGTGATTCTCTTGCCTCAGCCTACCGAGTAGCTAGGACCACAGGTGCCCAGCTATTTTTTATTGCAATTTGGCCGGGGTCAGGTTTGAACCTGCCACCCTCAGTATATGGGGCTGGCGCCTTACTCACTGAGCCACAGGCATCACCCTGTTTTTAAAATTATATTGAGGTGATGCAAATGGGAAATGGCACAACTCACTCTCTGACCCTGCCGTGCCCACTTTCCCTCTGCCATTGAGGTTCCCTCTGCCCAGAGCAGTCTCCCACCTTCCAGATATCAGCGTGGGGGTTCCCTCTCTGGAGGCCTCCTTTCACTCCTCTACTGGGCTCACCCCAGGCTTCTTCCCCACCCAAGGGCAATACACTTCTCAAGGCTGAGAGTAGGGATAGAGTGTTTCCTCACTGTGTCTTGGAGGCACCAGCTCCCAAAAGCCTGCACCCAACGTTCACACACCCAGCTGTCTTATATAAGTTCCCCTGACTCTTGACAATTCCTTCTTCCAAGTGGCCGGTAAAACCCCAGATTCTTTGGTTGAGGGAACGTGGGTTACTTGTTTAAAGTCTTTTACAGCAATGGGAGAGTGGGGAACAAGGTAATTGGCGGTAACGGACATTGAAAAGGGAGTTTGCCCCCCTACCCTTCAGACTTCCAATGGTGGTCCACAGGCCTGGAGGAGGAGATTCTAGGAGAAACTTCACTGTCCTGCCCCTTCCTCCCAGGAGCTAGTAGCAGAGTCTCTCTGCAAGGATGCAGATTGTGCAGGGTAGGCTTGTGGGAACTGAGTGAGCCAATCTGTGTGGCCTAAGTCAGGGTCAGAGAGGTGGTGGTGGTGGTGGAGAGGATCCACCACGTCCTTTTTTGAGCTCTTTTTTTTTTTTTTTTTTTTGAGACAGAGTCTTACTTTGTTGCCCTGGGTATTTTTTTGTTTTTAGCAGGCAGGGCTGGGTTCGAACCCACCAGCCCTGGTGCATGTGGCCTGCACCCTACTGAATGAGCTATGGGCACTGCCCTTTTTTGAGCTCTTAAAGAATTCTTTTCTTTTTTTTTTTTTTTTTTGAGACAGAGTCTCAAGCTGTCCCCCTG